GCAGGTTCTTTTCAACTATTTGTTTCCCAATGGAGGCTGAGCTGCGTTACCTGCATAATCTAAGCACCCTGCTGCATTCAGTCCTAATGGAACTGCTGGCACATGAGTCCAGTTTGAAGAGAGAAAGGGAGGCATGATATTAACTCATGCATTGTTTGTTTCCTTTAAGATTTTTTTCCCCTTTTCATGTCTAATGCTGGCACAGATGCTTCTGCTTTTTAAACTTTACTCAGTTTAATATGTTAAAGAGACTTTAGAGATTTAGGGGTGGATGGATTCTGGGTAAATCTCTGAGAATTGGCGCCAGTTGGGCTTGTGTGATGTCAGTGACCCAATAGGTCAGAAGGATTTCTAAATCTATCTCTCTATTTTTGGTGCAGCCTTATACTTAGTAGTTGTATCTATTTTTTGTGTGTTTTGGCCACTGGTGTGGCTTCTCTTTGCTTTCCAGTGTCAGTTTGTCTTCTGAGCTTCAGGCTGACATTCATAAGTCATTATCACTTCGCTTTTCATACCGTTTGTCCATTTTTGCCTCCCTTCTTCTTATCTCTGCCTGTCTTTGGCTCTGTCCTGGTTTCCAGGGCCTTGTTCATATCTTATTTGGAGCTGAATTGAAATTTTCTTTGGCTCTTTTCATGTTTTTTTTTGGTTACAGACTGTCTCTGTTAGACTGTCCCTCTGCCCACTGCTTCTCTTTATTCCTTTGTCTTTATATGGGTTCAACTCAGGTAATATCTGCCTGTGGCTTTTCTCATGTTTTTTTTCTTTCTACACACCTTTAAGCTCCACCTTTATTTGTCCTTGTGAGCCCCACTAACAAGGTTCCAGTTTTGTTCCACTACACAAACTCTGCGATAACATATCTTTCTTTATCATTTTTCTTTTTTGCTGTCTTTCTCGCTTTCTTTCGTCACTGTTCTTCCTTTTTTAACAAATTCTGCTCCTCATTTCAAGGTGCCAACTTCTAAGGTTTCTAGGTTTACCCTTCATTGAGTGAACTTATTACGGTGTCCACAAGTTCTGTCTCTTGTCATGTTTTTATAAGGAGCTTATGATAAATCCAAGATGGTAGAAAATACCTGATTGCCACTTGTAACTCTGAGTCAATGGTATCTTCTGTCATTTGGCTTTGTATGTAATTACAACTGAGGCCATAGTTGGCTGTTCCTTGGTTTTGTTACCTTTGGGCTCCAGTGTTTCAATGCTAGGTAGAGTAAGAAAAGTCACCATTTATTTAGACTGGCAGTGTGTAAAATGCAGTTGGCAGTGGCAGCTCAAATTCCATTAACATTGCAGTATAAATCTTTCTTATGGGAGGTGAATTACAGCTTCCAGTCTGGGTCAACAGTGAATTTAAAATATGATGTATGGGACAAGATAAAATGAGGTAATGCCAAGGGAATTAAACTAAAATAAAATCTAAAGGATTTAGAGCTTTACTGCCCCCTTTTGGATTTGCAAAGCACTTATATTTATCTTTAGGAAATCAGTCAAGACAACACTGCCTGATCATGCATATGATAACAACAACTTCCATTCATCCATTTTCTATACACTGCTTAATCCTCACGAGGGTCGCGGGGGGGCTGGAGTCTATCCCAGCTGACTTAGGGCGAAGGCAGGGGACACCCTGGACAAATCGCCAGTCTATCGCAGGGCTACACTTAGAGACAGACAACCAAGCACACCCACATTCACACCTACGGACAATTTAGAATCACCAATTAACCTCAACATGTTCTTGGACTGTGTGGGAGGAAGCCGGAGAACCCGGAGAGAACCCACGCTGCACGGGGAGAACATGCAAACTCGCCACAGAAATATCCTGGTGCCCCCACCGGGACGCGAACCGGCAACCTTCTTGCTGCGAGGCAACAGTGCTATGAGTGCTTTAATGTAAACCTGTCTTAGATTTGAAAATGGACTCATGCAGAAATATATATATATAAAAAATTTGTGAATTTCTTTTGACAAAAATATATACACTTCATAATAAATTAATTCTAAAGGTAAAATCTAATGAAATGACCACAAATTCAAAACATTTGTCAAATCAGGTACTACTGCATTTTAAACAAAACTTATTTTCAGCAAATTGCAACAAATAGCCTAATAAATGGCTATGAGTGGGGATTCAGAGGTTTAAGTTTCTTGTATTTATCTGTTGTAATAGCTTTTTTGTTGTTTAATGGGTGTGTAATTTTTTTCAATAGAGTATTTTGTGATGCCCTCATATCTCTTAACCACCATTTTCACTAGAAAAAAACAGTTCTTAGAACTACTTTTGCCAGCATACAGAATGTCTTTCTGATTTATCATCGAATAGTTCAAAGCTACATGCTACACGCTTAGCCAGCCAGTTACTTCTCTGCTCTAGCTTGGTTTAATTATGTTTAATATTAAATGACCAGTTGTAGGAATGCCTTGCTATGAAAATCTGTTACAAGACATTTAATGAACAACATCTGTTAGAAATTCACTTTTTGGAAGATCAGTTTTGGTGTTATGCTGTTATTTGTCATTTGAAATTATGCTACATAATAGGTCAGACTTGTAGCCCTACTCTCAAGTGTAACAACAACACTACTTTATACACAGTTGATGTCAGTGCGGCAGTGAAAAGGAAATCAGAAATGTCCTTTCTATGATGGTGATTATGGGGGGTAGCTAATATTAATGTGTGCTGGATGAATAATAAAACTCAAACATCACCCACACCAACAATGAAAACCTGATAAAGTATCAGCGTTTGAAGTCTCTGTCAAGTTCTGACAGCCTCATGGGTTGTGAGCCAACCTGCCAAGAAGCCTTTTATATGCTGAATCCCACACTAGGTGTCCTAGAAATAATACTGGCTGATTGAAAATGCTATGCATATAAAAGAACAGTCACATACAGTGCTTTTTGTTATTTTGCTGTTCTCTGGATTCTCCTGCTCATCCATATCTTTACTAATGGGGACTAGAACTGAAGTTAGACTGCAGTTAAAACTATTAAACAGTAAAAACTGTGTTGAAGAATTAACCTAATAGGTTTAAAGATTTGGTTAATTTGGGACTGTCATGCTGATGCTGAAGTTTTTAAGGTGTGAAGGATGATTAGATGATTCGTGTTTGAATGCTGAATCTTCCTCTCTGGTCTCAAATATGATAAATGAAAATGGACTATTTACTATTCTTAGAGTGTAGTTCATGATTAAAGTCAAGAGTAATATTCAGAAAGGTCTCATCTATCATAGATGATTGTTGCCACTTGCTGTGCTAAAGATGTTCGCTAGAAGGCGGATAGTTACCGTGGCAGCGTCAGGATGATGTAGGACGTTCAGGGAAAATACATATTTTGTGAGGGAGTAATTTGTTGTTTGAGGTTTACAAAGAAATGAAGAAACACCTACATCATTTTATGTCCCTCATTGTCTTTATACTTGTGGAAATACCAGCTGAGTGCCCAGAGCTGCCGGTGTGTTCCTGCATACTAAAAAGACAGAATCTTACCACACATAAATATTGGGTTGTCCTAAAATGATGACAGTTTGCTGCCTACAGGATCACAGCTGCAGTCCTTTATGTGTCTTTCAACTAGAGTTGCAACGATTAGTCAAAAAAAATGAATGTGCGATTATTTTCATAATCATCACCCTTCAGTAAAATCTGAAATAATTTGTTCGTCAACCTCCTCTAATGGGAAAATGTGCTGCTTTTCATTTTACTTGTCATTTTTGCAAATTAAACGAACTATCGGCGGAGTTTGAACCGTTCGGCCGAATAAAGGATGATGATAACATCACGGCGATGGGGCATTTTTCATATTTTTCTGATCTTATGAAGGCAAAACAAAATAAATGTTAATATAGAAATTACAAATACTGCACAGCTGCAGTGTGACTTGACATCTTAACAACAACAGCAAGACAGATTCTCAGCAGGGCCATCTCTAAAGTGCCCCATTTTCAAGACAAATATCTCTTTATAAGAAACTCAGATTTTAACCTACTGTACTTTGCTCTAAATATGTAGTCTTGGATAGACTATTAGCATGTAAAACTATTGCAGTGTGGGCCAGTCCAACATTGATAATCAGATGACAAACACAGTGCATTAGAGTTTCAGGATTTGACTTCTTTTCTTCTAACCAGACCACAAAGACACTTTAATTTACTATATCTACAGTAAGTTAAATGCAGTTTAATTATAATAGTGTTAAAACTTTTTTGTCATTTTAACCCTGTGTGTCATTGATGTAAGCATGTTATTTGAGGTATTTTGGGAAAAGTTCTGACATTGCCTTTTTTGAAACTGAAAATCGTAAAACATTAATGTCCCAATGTATTCCCTTGAATTCAAATTTTTCTGTTTCATCTTTCTCGTTCTTCGGACAGGAAAGATGGGGGTGAGCTACAGTCATCTAGAAATGACAGCCATTTCCTCTGATGCTTCGTCTTCTAAGTTTAAAACACTTCTGAGTTCACAAGCTTGAGGGTGACGCACCAAAGGGAGAAGGTGAGGGCACACTGAGTGTGAGATGACAGTGTGAGCTGTCACACTATCAATTTAAGTCATATATGGTTCACCGGCTGGATGCTGCTTTTGTGCAAACCAGGATATTTAGTTTTTTAGATTTGAGAAGAGATGAAAAATTTAACTTGGATTGTGGGTCATTTTATTGTACTTGTATTTAAAAACTTTAAATGTACAGGTCCAAATTGGAACCTATGAGAAAGAAATGCTGTGTTTTAGTTTTCTTAGCACTTCTGTAACTGACATATGTTATTGAGGTTTTATATTTAGTCAGAATATAGACACACTAAGTTTAAATAAACCACAGAAAAAAAAAAAAAAAAAAGAGGCGGCTTTGCACATTGCAAAGGCCTGCGGGCGCTGTAGGCCTCCACCTTGTTGTACTCACTCACTTCCTCTTAACCGCCTGAAGGCAGGAAGAGAGAAGAGACAGAAGAGGAAGAGCAGCAAAGGGGGCTGGCCTTATTGCTTTCATTTAAAGTTAAAAGAAAAATGCAGAAGTGAAAAGTTTAGGGAGAGAGGAAATATCGGAGGAGAATCAGAAAGACAAGACTCAGAGTAGAGGGTGGATTAAAGAGCAGCCTGCAATCATGGCTCCTTGGACGAGGACCACCACAGAGCGGTACGGTGTGGGTAAGTCAGCGTGTGCTCACTTGTGTCTTTGTGTATGTGGCCATGAACATACATGTCGCTATCTCTGTATGTATCTTCCGTATGATGGTGAACTATCCATGCAACGAACAATAATGAAAAAATGAGATGCCGATCACTTCCTGCTTGACAGGATGTGAGCAGGTGCTTTAGGAACTTTAGGATGCACACATCAGTTTTAATCCTAAAATCATAGTCATCTTTTCATTTAAAGGCAACAAAACTCACAAGAGCTGCAGTGGAACGAGAGAGAGAGAGAAACTCATGAGCAAAATTTACAGTCTGATGGAGAAATAAGCAGCAGTTAGTCTCCACGCGTGACTTGTGCAGCACGTAAATACAGAAGCTCGGAGACAAATTATTCCTGAAAATGACAGTTATGAGCGTGAAACATTGATTTTGGCCTGGAAACAAATCCTGACTGTGCAAGCGCAGCCTCTCAGTACAGTCTGCAGTTTATCTGCTGTGTGGGTTTAATATGGCGGCACTGATCAGTGTGTGCTGCCATTAGATATGCAGTGCAGTCACAAACTTGGCAAAGACCACAGATTCCTGACTTCCAATACAGACTGTTCAGAGGTTCACCGGCCTGTTGCAGCCTTTGTGTTTATTTATCAGTTAGTTGCAGTGAGTTGTGGAATTGTGCAGAATGAGTGGAGACAGTTGAAAGTGCTTCTCATCCCAGTAGCTCTACCAGCTTAAAGTTGTCAATGAAAGTGCCAGTGAATTCAAACTTGTGATTTAAAAGCAATTACTAACATAATCACCCAGGGAACTGTTGCATATCAATAGTATTGACAGTGACTGTCTTCCTCGTCTATGTAAGACTATAACACAGGAAGTGGGGGGAAGAAGGAAGTTTGTACGAGTCTGAAGCTGTGCGGCTGAATACTGTATAGAAATTATTGAAAAAAAAAGTAGACTACACATGTACACGTATTGTTTGAACACTTTTTGGCTAATGGTGTGCCACCCTTTACACAGTAGCAACAATGACTGCAATTACCTGCCATTTCTTAGCTGTAATTACTTGTTTGGAGTCCATAATATCTTTAAGCACAAACTGACCAAAGAAAGCCTGTAAGTCATTATCGGCAGACTAACTAATGTTCTGTTTACAACGCTCTGCCCACTGGTTTGCTCTGCATTGCAACTGCTGTTGTCCCTTTTTCCTGCAGCATGCATTGCTACAACTGCTGCGTTTACTCATAAACTATACACTAAAAGCATCCTCTGATTATTTAGACTAACCTATCAATAAATTAAATTCTGACATACAACTAACATCATTAGATTGCACATTTTGTCTGACTGTCAACCACCCCAAATCCCTAAAATACTGTTTAATGGCACATGATAAGTATAAGCAGCCAATTCTCACAACTGACAAGAAGGAACGAGACAATGACATAACACTTCTCGCCTTAAAAAGACTAATGTCGCCCACTGGAATACACCTTAGGTTCAGTAGAGAAGTTTAAGAAAAGGAAAGGAATAGTTGCTGCCTGCTACCGATGAAAATGTTAACCTGACGGTTTGTTTGTTCCATTGTCAGTCAGTAGTTGCTCAGATTGACAGCTGATCCAGGCCTCCCTTCTGCATAAGCTAAACTGTTTTTTATTTATTTTTCACCTAAAGATATTTAGCGTCTTTCTACCATTGAAAGACGGAGACTTCTCAGTTTTCTCCTTGGCTACATGTTTCTCTAGCTGTTGACCAAAATGTGAACATGGCAGCTGGACACCAATGACTACTGTTGGTTGTTGCTGCCATGGTTGTTTTATGTAACGATCTAATAAATGACTCCTACATCAGACCATAACTTTTTTTTTTTTCCTTTTTAGTGAAGTGGAATTTTGTTGGCAAAGGAGAGAAACATCTTTCCCTGGAGGTAGGAGACACGGTCCACATCCAGGAGGTCTGTGATGGTAAGACGGTCTAATTATTATCTTCAATTTGACATTACCTTTCAACATTGATTCATTATTAAGAAGAAAGTCTGTCTATTATGTTTTTCTCTCACTGATCTTCTCCCTTACAAATCTACCATCTGTTGTTGGTGCTAATAAATAATCATGTAATCCTGTTGAAATACATTAACATTTTGCATTGAAACAAAGTCATACTTTTCTTATTTTAGAAGCAAACAAGTCTGTTCTTGTTGCAAAAACATAAATTTGAACAGTTTGATAAACAATGCTTTTTCTCAGTTAAAAATGTTAGCTTCCTGTAAGTGTCGTTTTATTCTATGGAGTATTTCACAGAATTAAGTATTGAAAATCCATATACATGACAGATAACAACAATGTTGCACAACTGTTACTACTAAATAAAGATGATATGTAATTGTACTTTCCTCTCTAGGTTATAGTCTGATAGTAACATGTAAGCTGATTTGTGTTTCAGGGTGGTACAGAGGATACTTGGTTCGGAACAGAACCCAACAGGTAAGAGATCACACTTGAATAACATTATATTATTACAATATATTGATATAAAGAGAGGAGTAATAACACAAGCACAGCAGTCTGCCTTTATTCAACTGGGAGATTTCTGCACTAGTGTTGTGTTCTGAAATGTTGTGAGCTATGACTGAATTTCTTCCTGTATTCATCTCCCCCCCGCATTAATTCTTCTTAAAGGGAGTGTTCCCTGTCAGTTTTGTCCATCTTAAGGAGGCCATCGTTGAAAAACGAGGGTGAGTGGGGGAAAAAAACAGCTCTTCATCAGTCTTCAAAAGTTACACAAGTTCTTGAATTTGTTCCATTTTCAAGTGTGTGTGTTTGTGCGATTACAGAGATGAGGAGGTGGTGATGTCTGCAGAGATGCCCTTGGTGAAGGAGGTGACCACCACACTGAGGGAGTGGGGAAGCATATGGAAGCAGCTATTTGTGGTATGAACCAAGCAATCAAAACACAATATTTGTGTTGGCGAATGTGAGTTTGACTGAATATAACACAGTATGTCTATACTTCTGTCCAGGCCAATAAAGAGGTGCGTGTGAAGCAGGTTCAGAGGCTGATGTGGGAGCTGATGGAGTGGCGTTCTCAGCTCCTGTCTGGCACCCTGCCGACTGACGAATTCAAGGAGCTCAAGCAGAAAGTTACTTCCAAGATTGATTATGGCAACAAGTATGTCTGGACTGAAATCTTTCAATTTCATGTTCACACTTAAATACATATTGATACGTGCCCATTGTTAAGCCTCATCCATCAGCCAGCAAGCTGTAACTATTAATCACTTAGATTGATCTCCTTTGCAGAACTCTCTGCTCTTTTTCTAATTACTTTGTCTTCTCATCGCTTCTTTTACACCCTCCTCCTCAATATCATGTTTCACCTTCACTGACTGCGTTTCCTCTCCGCTCCTCTTTCACCTTTGTTCACCTTCCATCAATCTTCACAATACTCAACCCCAGGATCCTGGAGCTGGACCAGGTTGTTCGAGACGAGAACGGAAACATCTTGGACCCAGAGCGAGCGAGTGTCATCAGTCTCTTTCGGGCCCACGAGGAGGCCACAGCCAAGATCAATGAACGCATTAAAGAGGAGCAGGTACTGGACAGAATGTAGGAAGGAGAGGACCATCCGCAAAGTCTTTTAATTGAAAGTGGATGTGATGGCAGATATTGGAATCTTCACTGATTTATTTGGCCACTTTGACACATTGCTTTGGTTTGAGATTTGTCAGCACTCGATTTGGAATAATTCCTAAGAAACTTTTTGACGGGTTAATATCAGTATATAAAAACAGCTCCATGAGACATGGGTGGAATCACAATTTTGTCTTTCATTTAGTTTTTTTTCTTTTTGATAAGGAAGTCGTGAAATGAAACTTTGCAGGAAATGGATAATAAGTTTTACTTGCCAGTCATGTCTGCCAGCCAAGACTAATTAAGAATTCACGTCCTTACAAATTGGCTTAACATCACTTCAATTCCACGCAGCTCATTTTGCATTTCAACATCGATTCATCAGCAAGAAGAGATTCTATCTATTATTTTTTTTCTCACTCACTGATCTTCTTCTGCCTTACAAACCCGCCATCTGGATGCTGCAGCTGGTGCATTTCAGAATAAGTAACCATTAAATATACGATATTGTACCAGCCAACTGCATTTGTCAGGACCTTGCCAAAATGAATGCTTTTGGTTGGCATTTTATCTTGTTGAATCATCACCTCTACTTATCCTCCTGAAACTAATGTCCTCTCCTGCAGTCCAACGTCCAGACAGACCACAGTGGGATCTCAGCACGGATCCAGTCCTCCCCCACCCACAGCCTCTACGTCTTTGTCAGGAACTTCGTCTGTCGCATCGGAGAGGACTCGGAGCTCTTCATGTCCCTCTATGATCCCAACAAACAGTGCATCATCAGGTGACACTTGTCTTGTCCTTCGGGTTTAATTTTAGATGGTGGTCCAGTGTATGCACATGTTTTGAATGTGAATTCTTGTCAGGTAGATTTTAAGGATTTGAAGTCCCAGACTCCTCTGAAAGATGAAATGTCTGTTTAGACTTTAAATTATTTACTTATTGCTCTTGTTGAAGCCTGGCAGATTTCATTTTCCCCCTTTCCATTCATCTGAAATCAATTTTGTGGTATCGTGCTGAGTCAAAGAGACAGAGAAAGTCATAAAGATGAAACTAAGTTGTATGGAAAAAGCAGTATAGGTTATATTAATGTGACTTCTATGAGTTTGATTTTCTTGTGTCAAGAACTGAGATCATAAAACAAGTTAACTACATCTATAAATGCCATAAAAACACGGGAAAATTGAGATTAAGGAGGTTTATTCGCCTCTGAAACTCTCTCAGTGGCCATTTACTGTCTGAAATGAATAAAAAATAACTTGAATTGGTGTTTAGATCTTTTCACCTTCCCTCCATTCCTCAGCAGTCTGAAACATTTATGCACACACACGCTCCAGCTCAGGCACACTCTCCTACCTTTTCCACTATTTCCTCAAGTCTGTATACCTTTCCCCTTTTTCCTCTCTTCTATTGTGGAGACCAACTAAATTAGAGCAATGGTAAGCCAAAAATAAACATACATAAAATACAAATTATAGGGCAGCAGCAACTGACTGGCAGCACTACATGGTGCCTGACAGGGCTGATTTTAAGCTCTGTTGCTCACTGTCATACTGGATGTATCTATTTCTCTGCCAATGCAACTGCAAGTATGAAGATAGACTTCAACATATTCCCACCCTTATTAGATTTACTTTTTTTGCAGTTTGTCCTGATTTATAATTCTCTTTTGTCTGTTCTGCTTGTATTATGTTTGTCTGACTGGCTAAATGCTTGTCTCCACACCTTGTTAATCCGTCTGAAAAACAACTGGCAGATATTAGGATTTTTAAATATATTGTCATTATTGTAAGGAATTAACTTTTCCCCAGCTTTGATTTACCCTCAAGTACCCACCGACATTTACTGTATGTATGTGTCTATCTTGCTGTCTGTTTTTCTATTCATCCTTCCGTCAGTGTCTTGTTCATGCCCGTGTGTCGGGGAAATGCTTCTGGGAAAAGAAGGGTATTATGCAGATGCTCAGCGGTTCCATGTGCCTGTCAGAGGATGACTGAAACACTTGAACTGTAGTTTCCTTGACATCATTTAATGTCAAATCATTAAACTGCCCCCACTGTGCTCATGTTCAACAGCCAAACTGTTGTGTGCAGAATTTCCTTTTTGGCAGGCAGAGTGTCCCTGCAGAATTCAGTTATGAGGGATGAGATTCTTTGTATTGTTGCTGCCATTTCTGAACGTATGTTTGGTTGTGTGCTCAGTACTGTATTGATTAATAAGGTATGGTGCGTGCCTTTTAACTCTTTGCCATCCTTTGTGCAGTGAGAATTACTTGGTGCGCTGGGGCAGCAAAGGTTTCCCAAAAGAGATTGACATGCTCAACAACCTGAAGGTCGTCTTTACAGTAAGTGGCCACAGGAGGGCACTGTCACTCTGTCTCTAAGCTCTAACTACACTGGAATACAGGCCATTGGAATAAATGAGCTTATTTCATTTCAGAGAATCGCATTAAAATTACTTTGTTTTTCCCATTTTTCCCTCCAACTTCTCTGATGTCCACTCTCTATACATGTTTTACTCACTTTATCGCCGTCTTTGTCTGCCAGGACTTGGGGAACAAGGACCTGAGCAGAGAGAAGATTTATCTGATCTGTCAGATAGTGAGAGTGGGCAGGATGGACCTGAAAGAAACAAACAACAAGAAGTGCACTCAGGGCCTGAGGCGGCCATTTGGGGTGGCAGGTACTTCAAGAGAAGACAATGCCAATGTTTTTGGTCTAAAGTGCTGCTAAATTGCTAATCCAAGTGTCTAAGCGATGTATGGGGTAGCCATTGGGCTTACCAAACTGCTAATCAAAAAGATTTCTTTTCATTGTCTATGTATCTGCTACTACTGCCTTGATTAAAGGTTCCCTTAGGACTCCTATAAACTAAGGAGCAATCCCTGTGCTTCTAGCTTTGGGTGATGCTACGCACAGTTCAACAAATGGTTTCACACTTTCCCACTGATCAACAGATGGCAGTATATGTCAGGAAACACACTGAAGCACCAACATATGTAGTGAAGAACACTGCAAGCTTGTAGGTGTAAAATTTTTACCAAAAAAATTGGCTTTTGTAAATACTTCATGAGAAAGGAAATGAATTCAACATGGTGGACCTTAAGGGTACACAAAGTGTGTCTGTTTGAGTAGCACTAAAAAAGGAACTTTTTTTTGCTTGTTTACAAGAAAACTTTACAGGGCGCCTTTATTCTGGCTCTGAAAGCTGTAATGTATTTTTTGACAGAAAAGACTGTTGTCTCTCATTTCCCCAGTTTTGCCAACTATAATGACTTTTAGTACCCTTTCAGTCATTTTCGTTCCCTAAAGGTCAGAGTAATTCTGTTTGATTCGTCAGCTGCAGCTGCAGGTATTACTGCTCATATTTACACCAGGGAGCTGTGAGGTACAACCACAATCCTTTGCACGAACAAAACTAAAAAATTAATTGTGACCATCAACTACTTTTCCCTCCCTACCTTTTAGGCTATTGTTGGTCCCACTGGCTCAGAAAAGTGCCCTTTATCCTCATATAACCTCCCACAACAGCTATCAGGGAGTGCATTTAGGCCAGTTCTGCTGGTGTGTTCTCTGTTGTGCTGATGTGAATCCACATTGCAAATTACTGTGTAATACAGTCTTTGATTTTGTCCTCACAGACACATTTGTTTTTCTCTTCTTGGCAGTGATGGACATTAGTGATATCATCAAAGGGAAGATTGAATGTGACGAGGAGAAGCAGTTTTTCATCCCCTTCTTCCCGTATGTCCTATTTTCCTCCCGTGTTACTCCATCTCATCTGCCTCTCTCCCACCTGTTCTCTTTTATCAAACTTGTGAATTTTTTTCCTCCATATAATTAAATTAGCATGATTGCAGTTTTGTGTGTGTAATAGTTTCAGAATGTGCACAGTTTTAAGAATAAATGGTCCTTCTGGTGTTTTTCAAGTGTGCCTTTGTATGTTTGTCTCCAGGGTGGTTGCTGAGAACGACTTTCTCCACACCTTACTGAACAAAGTGACAGCGTCGCGAGGAGACAGTGGTGGCCAAGGTACTGTTTCACATTCTTTACTCTCCGTTTTCTAGCCACGCGACAATTCTTGCAAAAGTAAGTGGTCCTGCATGCACTGAAGGTTCCCACTGGACTGTGCATGCTGCAGTCATTTGTGGTCAGATAAAATGGCTATTTCTCATTGCATCCTCGCCTCTTCTCTCTGCACTGTAGGTGAGAACGAAGGACATTATCCTGATGGATAGCACCCGCCCTTGAGCCGATGTTTTCATATTACTTACCCTTTATTTCTCCCTCACCAGCCTCCAGTCTTGCTGCCCACTCCCTCATGTTTATGGCTGACTTTGACAACCCCAATGGGTGACACTGTCTTGTTTCACATAGAGTAACCCTGCATGTTGGACTGCACTGCCATATCGCTCAGCTTTTATCTTCCTTCTGCTCCTGAAGGCTCCGGGCGTAACCTAGATATGAAAGGTGCATCCGGACGAGCAGATATGGAAGGAGCACCTGAGGCCACCAGATGTCTGTTCTTAACATTACTCACCCCTAATCTCTCCTTCCTCTCACTTTGAGACGCTTTTCCCATTGTACACACATACACCCACACACACATATACACTGTCTTCCCTGTAGGTATGTGGTTAGTTTGAAAATGTGGGTTTGTGACACAGTCTACATTTCAGCTACCATGTATTTTCCCGAAATAGCTCACCTGCTTTTCCCTTTACCTGCCCATTCCTTTTCTCTGCTTTTTCCACATAATTTCTCTGAAAGCTGTAAGAGCCCATATTCTTTAGGAGACCATTTCTGTCTATTATAATAACACCTTTATGTTTTCTTTTTCTCCCTCGCTCCCCTGTTTTACACCCCTTTGCCAAATACAAACCCCCCCCCACCATTTTGTAGTATTGATTGCGGTCTATTTTGCAACAACAGCAGACATTTCCCCATCAGCAGAACATTTTAACATTATGTTTCCCATAACCACTCAAATTTTCCTCAAAGTGGAGCGTGCATTAAGTTCAGCCCTCAGGCCTCATGTTTCAGGGTTTCTGTGAGTCCTGAAAACATTTTAAAATTCAGTTGTAATACTTTAGGGCCTTGAAATTCTTTTCTCATTTATTTGGCTTTCATTTGAATTTACATCCCTGTGAGAGAAATCATCACTTGGTTGTTCATTTAAAATAAATTGAAGTGGCACCTTTTTCTCCAAATACATGTTCTGACAAAGTTCTGTGAAGCATTCAATTTAACTCTCTTATGCCCATAAACATACATAAGTTGTTGATTGAGCTATGTACAGATCCCATCTGTTCTATATGTCTCTCTTTTGGGCCTGTTTCATTTCACAGTAAAGTACGCAACATCTTTGGTTGTTATGAAGGAATGAAACAAGAATAAGCATGGAAGTAATCCTATTTAATACTGGATATGTTGTCGAGCCTTGTCGGTATGACAAAGGAAAACAATGATATTTTGTTTTTCTTTATTAATTCAAATGATCTGTTTGATGTAATAAACAATAAGAGAGAAAGAAACTAATTTGAAGACGGTACAATATGCTTTCACTCCACGAGGCTGCAGATTTGGTCCCATGATAGTATAGGATCTGTGTTGGCGGCTTTAGAAAGAATATGCCCAGAAAACTGTTTTGGAGAAAAAGAAATCTGCTTCCTTACAAAAATGAATATCTATTTTAATGCATTCCTCCTTCTCCAACCCTCCAGGTCTATGGGTCACTATGAAGGCCCTTGTTGGGGACATTGTCCAGATCCGGAAGGAGTATCCTCACCTGGTGGACCGCAGCACCGTGGTTGCCCGAAAGCTGGGCTTCCCAGAGATCATCATGCCAGGAGATGTGCGCAATGACATCTACCTCACCATACAGGCCGGCGACTTCGACAAATACAACAAAACAACACAGAAAAACGTGGAGGTCATCATGTGGGTGTGTGACGAGGAGGGCAAAGTCATACAGGTGAGCAGTGTGAAGACGTGAGAGGACAGGGGCATGACAGCGTATTTAAACAGGAGAGAAATTTGTATGAAAGGGGATTGGTGTGTGTGTGTGTGTGTGTGTTTGGGGTTAACTGTGCAGGTGCACAAGTATGTGTGGTGTTTTAAGAGATTGAGGTGTTCTGGGCCAGTGAGCAAGCACAGCACTGATCAAGCACTTACTCACCCTCTCATAGTCAGGGGCACATAGAAGCAGCTTTATCCCAGAATGAAAATCCATCTTAGGCATACATGGATGCACATGCGCTCATATATACACAAACATAAAGTCCTTCAAGTCCCTGTGACACACATTTTTCTCGCCCTCCCTTTTTCCTAGAACTCCATCTGTCTGGGAGCAGGGGATAAGGCGGTCAGCGAGTACAGGTCTGTCATCTACTACCAAATCAAACAGCCCCGCTGGATGGAGACATTTAAGGTGTGTGTGTCTTTACCAGTCTTTCACTTTCCTTAAAATGTCTGCTTATATGGCATTCCACATTTCAGCTAAATCTGTCAAGGAAAGGAACCACAGAAAATCCTGATATATTATCTTTAAAATATCTCTCATATTCTATATTCTATATCCAATAACATCCTTCAGGTGGCAGTCCCTCTGGAAGAGATGCACAGAATCCATTTACGCTTCATGTTCAGACACCGCTCTTCCCAGGAGTGTGAGTATCATCCTCTGCGCCTCTGCCTGCCTGTTTTCTCAATCGAGCCACACTTTCCTCTCCTCTTCTCTGAAACCCTGAGCCTAATGTGACACCGAAAGGACCGAATGATTGTAACCAATTTGGAAAATGACCCAAAGCATCATTACGCACACTTACTTATACAAAGGAGCAGTTTTTTCTCCTTCATGTCTGAATTCTCACCCTCCCTCCTCTCTCCTCTCTCCTTTCTCTCTTTCCCTGATGTGTTTTTTTTTCTTCCGCTGACTCTTCTGGTTCCCTCGTACACATCCTTCTCCTTCATCTCCAGCCAAGGACAAGAGCGAGAAGAACTTTGCTATGGCTTTTGTGCGCCTGATGAAGGAGGACGGGACGGTTCTGCAGGACGGACTGCACGACCTTGTGGTCTTCAAGGTCAGAACCAGTAATGGAGCTTTGAGCATAAAGAAAACAGACTCAGAAATGGATTCATTATCCTTTTTAAAGAAAAAATAGTCAAATTAACAATTACATGACACATAACCGTGCAACACTTTCATACTTAGAAACAAAAAACAATTATTGACGCATTTAACATCTTACGAGGTCATGGCTTCTGTTGCACCAAACAGTATTGGTATGAACAGCTGAACTATACTGAATAAGACATATTTTTTCATGAATTACGTCAAATCAAAGTGGCAACTTATCAAAATGTTAGACTTTACAAATATCTGCAGCACACAAAGTTATTTACGGATAGATGTCAAAAATATGTTAATACCAGGGAAAGAGTTTCACAGTGTCTGTTTCGTTGCAACAGTCATAAAAGCAGACCTTAACATATAGTGCGCTCCAATAGAAGATTATGACCACCCAGACAGGTTGAATGAAGCCAAATAGATTTCCTGCCAAATGAGCCAGAGCTAAGATTGAACCCACTTATTGATTAAATGCCAAACGCAATGAAGATTAATTACTCTTGATTCACTCAAAGACCAAATGGATTGTCCCCCTGTGCCCTCTCTCTCGATTATCTCTCGTTATCCCTGCATTCCTCTCGATTTCTGTGCCACTCACGGCTTCAATCTCTTACTCCCCCGATGTTTCCAGCCGCTCTCTGATTATTTACTGGTGTGGCATTAATGAGGGCAGAGTTGAAGTTTGTTCAGTTAAAATATGACTGCGGGGTGATAAATCTAAATCTGGAACAATGCACAGTAATTAAAGTTTGGTCACGTAAATACAACCACAAATCAAGATGCCAAGGGAAGACACTTTTCTCTTCTACCCTTTGTGTCCTACATTGAATTTGTCAGATCTTTTTAGCGCTTTTTAACTAAGAAGAAAAATGCTGTCCCAGTGGTTGGTGTTGTTTTTGTTTATGCCTTTATATTTCTAACCTGTGTGGCATGACGGTTTTTGAAGTTATGAGCTTACAAACTGAAGATGAGTCAGGCAGAAGCCGATGAGGCATAGCCATCACAAAAGATTACTGCTGTGGAGCAGGTGACTTCATTCATCGTTTGTCTTTTTTTTTTTCCCTTCAGAACCGGCCTGATAAATCACTGCACATGTAGCAATTCCCAGTGTCTCTTTGTTTTCTGCTCCCACATTTGCATCAAGACATTTTGACTAAACACAGGAAGTGTAATCCTTGTCCCAGTGCTGCTGAGACACCTGCCGAGCATCTGTGCTGCCTTTTCCAAACTTGCAGCATTGTCAGCAATATTGGAATAAAAATGAATTTTGTCCTTTCAGGGTGATAGCAAGCGCATGGAAGACGTGAGCTGCTACTTGTCTTTGCCATCATCCCGCAACCACCACGGTGACCAACACAAGGGGGCAACGGTGAGTCGCAGCTCCAGCAGCGTGTCCGGCAGTGGAGGAGGCCTGTCAGTCAGCTCCAGAGACAGCTTCAGCATCTCCACCCTGGTCTGCTCCACCAAACTCACCCAGAATGGTAGGTGCTAGGGTGTGTGTGTGTGCAGGGCAGGTGTTCCGAAATTAAAATACCATCTTTGTGACATTGTGTTGACATTACTACTCTGGAGACTTGGCAGAGGAAAAACATTTTTATTCAGAAACGCACACACACCCATACAGACACAAAAGTTGAAGAAAGGTCAGGGGGATGGTGTTTGAAAATTAAACCTGACACGTCAAAAAACATTAATTAACATCTTCTTTCAGCAGAGTAATAAGGCCAGGCCAAGACAATGAATCATCGGTTGGCTGTGAAATTGGTAGAGGACAAATCCACTGCTTAGAGGGTCTGTTAAAGTCTGAAAGTACTACTGTGTCCAACCATTTAACCCAAGGTAAAATGGCTGGAAACTTCAAATTTGTCTTTAGAAATTCCAAACATAGGGAGCATTTTTCTGACGCGATCAGGCCGTGTTCTTTTTAAGTTGAGGTTAGAAGTTAAGTTGAGGTGAGGTCAGGGGAAAGGAGACATCCAGCCCATTAACGGTGAGTCAACATTATGTTAATTACATTACCATTGCCAGAACTACAAGGGTGTTTATGTTATGAGTCATGGCATAGTAAGCAAAGGATGGAAGGTTGGCAGTGTGTATACATGGGTTTTATTAGTGGGCACTGTCATCATTCTGCCCTACACACTCAGATAGGCAGCCACACAAGCAAGAAACACACACGCTGAGGTGCACATCCTCATCTACAAATGCATAAACGCACGTACACTCCAGACAGTAAGGTGCATCAGACACAGGTGCAGTGCAACAGCTGTTACCGAGGAAGCCAGTCCATCACTATAATGAACATTATCCTGCTGTATTAATCAACTGTACCACATGCACACATATACACACACACACAGGCTCTCAGCCATGCATGGTCACAGTGTTGTTTAGGGCCACCCACCAGATGTGCAGCTTGGCCTGGTGAGTCAGAAATCATCGGACAGAGAAAGCAGTGAGCTTTAAGCGGGCTGCCCTACAGAGACTTGGAAATCTGCCCTGTGTCAAACTGTAGCAGAATTAATGACAGAAACAGTGGATTTGAGCGTTCAGTTGAAGTCTCACTAACCAGAAGTACAGCCGCTGTCTGCATGACAAATCAGCACTTGACAGATGACTGCTTTCTTGTTCTTGTCAGATATAGATTGAAAATACCAAATTGCATGCAATATTTTGTTCAGGGTTTTAGTATATGAATACATCCATTATATATACAGTGTACTGTGTACCAAAAAATGATTAGGGTCATTCCTTGTGAATCATCTAAATGTGAAAAAATGCCCACCTGACTCCCTTAGAATTAGCGGCTTTAAATGTACAATTACTTTACTTAGTATATCTAATTAAGTCGTGCAACATTTGACCTTCATGCTATCAATATTTTCTCAGTTACAGGTCCTTGAAGTACATAGAAGTGGGCAGAAATTTTGCTTTTTATCCATGTTAATGGAGCCCTAATAGCTTTATATGTATATGAATATATTAGAAATTTGTGTTGACATAACCATGGCCAGAAGATGAACCCTGACCAACCACATACACCACAAGGTGATATGATCCTTGAAAGTTTCCCCCAGTGGATTATCAGAAATCAAGATAACACATCCAGGGTACCAGTGCTTGTTTCTATGTCAGACAACAAACTGGTGCAGTTTTGCCTCTTAAACTATGATATACCCCAAGATAATGATGCTCAAAATTTGTTATATAAAAAAATTGTATTCAACAAAAATGAGATTTTAGCTGTCACCTGGAGTGGATGTAAAATTGATGTGGCTGCAGTTTTTAGCAAAGCTGAAATGTGTTTTTTGACCCTGAAAATTCATGTGGCTGTCTCCTTTACATATTAAGATATGCAGGCTCAAAATGCTGGAAAAGGTGGCTTGAACTAAAAAGTGCGAAATTAGAAAAGTACATTAAAGAAATCCACTGATTTGGAGGCGGTCAGACGAGAATTTTTGAGAGATTTCCTTGATTTTCTATTGATGGAGCTTAACACTGGGGCTTTGGATATACAGTATATTGTATATACTCTATGCTTGCATATACTAGACCGCTAAACAAAATTTTGCATTCAGTTCAGTATTTTCAATTTTACCTCTTTCTGGCATCAAAGTAGCAATTTGTCAAGTGATGATTTGTAAAGTGTCGATTTCTTTAACAAATTTATTGCTTTAGTTCTGATTTTATTACAGTGCAACAAATAATCAAAATCAAAATAAACAAAAGCTAATCTTTTCACCTTTTGCGTTGTGTTAAGGCTGATGTGTTATGACGCACTGTTTATATATGTATTCTGTGCGGCCCATGAAGACACACATTACAGTGAGGAAAAAGATAGAAAATGATGCTGCTAACAGAGAAGACGTTTATATTATACCAGCTCCGAGCACCGTCCGCTCCAAGACGATACGTGCACGTACCTGCATACATTTATATTCCCCGTACGTCTCCCCTCTTCAGTGGGCCTGTTGGGGCTTCTCAAGTGGAGGACTCGACCTGAACTTCTCAAAGGAAACCTGGAGAAACTCAAAATCATTGATGGAGAGGAGGTGGTCAAGGTCAGTGGTGTGTACAAGTGTGTCTTTGCATAAATGTGCAGACTGGCATGTGTGCACTCTCACTGGTCCTCTCCTTTTGTCTATATGCATGTGTGTAGTTTCTGCAGGACACTCTGGACGCCTTGTTCAACATCATGATGGAGCACTCTCAGACTGACGACTACGACATCCTTGTGTTCGATGCCTTGGTGAGTGTCTGTGTGTTTACCGGGGAAAATTTTTGTGGGTCTGACTCTTCGTGTTTACCTTCTCAACACATTGCAGCTGATTTCTTGACAGGCTGCCTCAAGTGTGTATCAAGTCTGACATCTTTGTGTCTACCTGTCCATCTTTTTCCTAAATAAACTCACCTGTCAGATAATTGTACATAACTTCTCATCTGCCTTGTAAATGTTTACAGCAACGTCACCAGCTCTATTTCTTCTTTCACCACCCTTCTGTCTGACAGATATACATCATAGGTCTGATCGCCGACAGAAAGTTCCAGCACTTCAACACAGTGCTGGAGGCCTACATCAAGCAGCATTTCAGTGCTACGCTGGCCTACAAGTAGGTTACTTCCTTATTTATAACTTTTAATGGTCCTTTCTGAAAGAGTAAAGGTTCAATTTCCGTTCAACCGCAAAATTAAAAAGGTGTTGGTTTCATGGACTGTGTAGGCATTTCCAAGTGCACCTGCTATTTTAGTTCCTACAGGTGCAGCAGCGCAGCTTAAACTGGAGGCCGTGGTGATTGATAATCAACTCTTAGCCAGTTACATCACTGAACTCTCTGCTCTCTTTGGTCTAAAACAGCCATACCAATCACAGTGACACACAACAACAACAGCTCAACAAATGGAAAGAAGCCTCTCCAGGAAATTTATGTTTTTGTCTAAATGATGCATTGGGACATTACGTGAGCACAAAACACTTCAAATCTGCAGCCAGAGGCAGATGGTGTGGGTTTTTGTTTAACTTGTATAATGACGGTGTTGATGAAGCCGTTTATATAATCACATCAGCCCGAGCTAATTAAGTTTATTTCTCATGTCATATATGGTCACATCAATATAAAATATGGCACAGCAGCATTTGTGCTGCTATGCATTTTAAAACATGAAATGTTTGCTCGGACTGAAAAGAAAGTTGTAAATGAGGCAACGACAGACAAGACTGATGGGATACTGTAATCCAGCTTCTCCCACATAAACAACAGAAGTCATAACGGACCAGGCTGATGCATGCAGTATTTATGGGAGTTATTTTGTAGCAGTCTAGCATGTATTTCAAGACAGATCAACATACTGTACTGAAGGAATCACTTACACCAATCAGCCACAGCATTAAAACATTAAAATTATTGTTGTTGTCTAGGTCCCCCTAATGTTGGTTAAACAGCTCCAGACATGGACATGGGATGTCTGGGGGAGTCCTGGTGTGTTTGGGATCTAGATGTTGGCAGCCAATCCTCTGGGTCCTGTGGGTTTTGGGGTGGAGCCTCCATAGATTGCTGCTTGTTCCTGTAGATCCCACAGTCGATGAGATTAGGAAAAGGCAGTGGTTCAAATGTTTTCTGTCAGGCCCCCCTTCAGAGGACAAAAAACTTTCGCGTCCCCCCTCACCTTAAATAGTTCTGAAATTTACTGAAATTAAAAATCATGAGCAGTCAAATAGTGCAGCAACAACTTGCTCAGTGATCAGTTCGAGCCTCATGAATGAAATGAAAAATACTTTATTTATCCCAGAAGGGAAATTCAATAATAATGAATAATAATTAATAATCAATAATAATAATAAATTCAATAACAATTCTCATCAGTTATTGTTGACACCATATCAAGAGCAGTAGGGAGTAGGAGATCTTCAGCGACTGGATGTGGTTTCTTGCACTTGGCGATTCTGTTACAGGGCTCCAGACTAACTTTTCCAGTGGTAGCATGGTGCTACCAACTTTCTTCATTGGTCGCACCAGTTAATGATTTGGTCGTCCCACTCCCTTATTTTGGTTCAGCATTGCCACAGCTATTAATGCACCATACATGCTGATGAATAGCTGCTTTTGCATAACTTAGTTATGTTGTAATGATTTTCAGTGATACAAGACAAAATATTTGTAAAATGTTTCAACCTTAAAATATATTTATTTTGTCACCAATCCTCTTCTAATATCAGTCATTAACTGGACACAGGCTAAACGATTGCTGAAAATGCCCGTGGGTAGATGCTACATTTTACCAATGTTCCCTAAACGCCTCACATGCTGTAGATGCTACCAGGTGTGTTCAGTGCAGCGTCTCTGACAGGTGAGCGACCAAACATTTGTTAGAAAACAGTGGAAAGCGCGTTCTACACTAATTTGCCATGGTTGAAAAATGTTCTATTAACAGAGTTTTTAGCAGTAAATCTGTCCCCAACAGGCACTGGAGGGGTAGCATATTCCAGCAGACCCCATTGCCAGAATATTCACCCCCCCAGTAAACCTGTCCCTGTTGGTCCCAGCATTTTCAACTTTTCAGAATATGCTCAGACCATGATCAGCAATAAATGCTGTGAATTTGGTGGCTGTAAGCCCTTTGGGGTCAGAAATAGAGGGGGGTGCATATTCTCGCAAACCCAATTAAGGGCAGTAAAGATGGGTACACGCCATCTACAGGCGAATGGCTGTCACTGCGCTCCTTGAGAGGGGGTGCTTTTCATGGCAGGGGTGCGGTTTTCGGCACAACACCTGCAGACCAGTGTCATCGTTTTCGTCACGTCTTTACTTGTCATTTGATAAAAAACAGAGATTTCGTTTTCATTTTTGTTGTCAGTACTTCTTAAATTTACATTCTCGTCACAAATTAGTCACGGAAAAATGGGTCGTCAACGAAAAGTTTTCCTTTAGGTTTTCATTGAGAAAATTAACACTGCCCCGGGGTCAGACGTGCCCCCACTATTTGAGAAACACTGGAATAAGGGGAGTTTGGAGGTTGCATCGGTGCTGTGAGCTCTTTGTCGTGCTTCTTGAATGATTCCTTAGCAGTTTCTGTGGCATGGCAGCGTGCATTGTCCAACCTGGGGAGGCCTCCAGTCGCAGGTGACCAGTATTATTTACCTCATTTGTAGGAGGTTTAATGTTTGGCTCATTGATGTCTTCTCATTTATAGATCAAGGCAGACTTATTTGCCTCGGTTTGTGCTTCAGTCGCAACAAATGCTGGTTTTCCACTCCGATTTAAACATATCCGCTGTCTGGGAAGTGATTAACTCAAATAGAAACTTCTGAAAATTGACATTTCAAGCATTATTCCACCATTTTCTCCAAGGCTTTAGTTTTGCTCTTGTTGATAAAAGTGGCAGCGGATTGTTGTTCGACTTAATGTCGGCAAACAGACAAAAACCACGCTTACCATGGGTATTAGCAGATTTTGCACTGTTCTTGTTTAAATATCCACACGGTCATCAAAGCATTTCATGAGACAACTCGCCCACTTATTTGGAGTTATGAAATCTTTTAAATGTCATCAGGTAATGTAAAAAGCAAACTGTTTTGCGATTCCTAGAAAGTTCAACAGGGCTGCCTAAAGCACAGTAATTAGACCGCATTAGTCATCTGAAGATCTGATGGTAAGTGACTAAATACTGCATTGTGTTCAGTCGCCACTGGAGGTCAGTGTGTGAGTTGGCCTTTCAGCACTTGACTGAATAAGATTAGAGTACGCTTCTTTTCTGAACCCTCAAGCTAGCCACACTTTTAACACCTCTGGTTGCTTTGTTCTCTTACTTAATTCACTTTACTTGATTCAGTTGGGCACTAGAGAACACATTTGATTGCTTTGCCAAGGCCTCAGTTAGGAAATTAAAAACATGTCTAAAGATATGGCTGACTCCACCCGCTCTCTTTTCCTCCTCTGCATCTTTTCTTGCTTCCCCAACTGCTTCTTCTCGTTCTCTTAACATCTTTTGCCCAATTATCCCCGCCACTCTCCTCCTCCTCTCCACTCTTCTTTCTTCTCTCTCCCCATCTATTCATCTGTCTCTCCGTCATCACTCCATCCCTCCCCTGCTAGTGTGTTCACCCTCTTTAAGAGGGTCACTGCAGCTTATCGCCTGTCAGCCCAGAGGCTGTTATGTAAAACTCTCTAACTCCCTCTCACTACATTTTAAACTACTCTCAAAAAGAATAAATCCTCCCATGCTTGGCTTTAAGCCGTGCACCAAAACAAAAACCAGGAAAGACTGATTTGTAATAACTTTGGTATTATTTCCAAGACCACCCTGATTGCAGTGGGGCCAGATTAGACTTCACTTTTTAAGGGGACTTTTTACTGTTTAAGAGGATTGGGTAGTTTTAAACCAGTTACTGTGTGATCCCTTGTTGCCACTTCTTGGAAGTGGAGTAGACACAAAGCCCAAAGTCTTGATCTTGACTCCCTGTAGATCGACTGTTTTACACGTTCTAAAGATGTTAGTATTGTAGACCACTGAGACAACGCAGAGAGAACTTGGGCAGGGAAATGCTGACGGGTCATAAACTTAGACTGAACTCTGTGCCTCCCACACCTCTCTCAACTGCTTTGACACACCAGAATATTTATGTGTGTCTAAAGATGCCTGTGGGGTGCGCATATGTTGGAGAATGATTTTTTCAGCATGCATCTGAGGGCAAATAAAAATGTCTGTAAGCTGTGTGAAAGGTACATCTGTTGAGGTGTGAAATACTATTTTACTATTTTTTTCCCCCACTTCCACCTCCCTGCCAGTCTTTCTCTCTTTCTCTCTCTCTGTCGTTCATTCACTCGCACTCTGTTGCACTCTCTCTTTCTGCTCTATGGAAGTGAAAAATGGAGTTGGTGATTAACTTTCCAACCTGTGGAACATCAGAAAAGAAATGACAATTCTGTCTGACTGATTTTGATTTCCTTCTCTCCTCTCTATCTCTCTCTTTTCTCCGTATCGCTTGCTCCCAGAAAGCTGATGTCGGTGTTGAAGAGGTATCTTGATGTGTCCAGCCGAGGAGAACAGTGTGAGCCCATCCTCCGAACCCTCAAAGCCCTCGAGTACATCTTCAAGTTCATCGTTCGTTCACGCATGCTCTACTCCCAGTAAGTGTGTGTGTGTGTGTGTGTTTGTTGGACTGATAATGACTTCAAATTTCTTTTTTGGATCCACAATTGGAAATTGTTGAGGTCACATACACACGCTCAGCACTCAGTGACTCTACATCGCCAAAGTAATCATTTGTGACAGCTCTGTAAGAAAAGCCTGCTGATTACAGCACTAATGTTGCTAATAAGCATTGATGATGAAGTGCAGCAACCAAATGGGAGCTAATGTCAGGGGCAGGACTGCTGAATGGGCAGCCAACATGGGCAGACAAAGTTCCAGCAGGAGAAACACCCACCATGATGAGTTCAAATCTGCAACATATGATAAGCTCAAGCAGCATTTTGTATACCTTCAGCGTTAGAGTTTAGATTGACAAATTGAAAGAGACATGATCTACTGCTGTGTTAAGCGTGCTGCCTGTTGTTGACTAGAGTGTGTGTGTGGGTCTATAGGACGCAATTGTCTAGAATTTATACATGCAAAGTTGTGATGCAGTGTATTAATTTTTATAGACTTTGTCAGTCTGTCAGTCCTTTCACCACTGCCAAGTCTGTCTTTTTAAATTTCCAGTAGTCTTGTAAAACTGATTTACATTTTTGGCAGTGACCACAGTGTACCTCAAAGGTCTGAATAAGACTATTTTACTACATGAGCTTTTTTTCCCGTTACAAATATCTGTTAACTGAATGAGAAATTTAAAATGAACTGTTTGTTCTGGCATTATTGAGAAATTATCACAGTATACCCGGCCAAATGAATTTCTAATCTGGGTACCAAGGTTTTTTAATTGCATTAAAGAGCTATTTTAGAGGAGATGTGATAGAGTGTAATTATGCTGTATATTAAACGTCCGGATTTCAACTTCAGTAAAGTTAAATTGGTAACTCGAGGCTGCACCGTAATCTTGAAGGTGTTGTCATATTGGTGGGAATTAATTTGCAGGTTCAGTGAGGTATAACAAAATATCATCGGCATAATGAGACACAGGTGGGGTGTGCTCACTTAGTCCAAACCTGACTCCCATAATATTAGGGGGAATATCAAATGGTAAGAGCCAAAGACTCAGCATCATGGTGTGTTTATCAATGAGCGCTGATTTGTTTGCATTGGCAAAGCTCCTCAAGTAGATTGGTGTTTGCTTTTGTGTGTGTGTATACACATATACATTTTGGTGTGCATCTTTGTGCATCACATTTTCCCTCTGCTACTCCTGGATTGACTGTGCTTCAGTCACCATCCTCCCCTGAGTATCTGTAAAGCAACAACTCTTGCACTCTTCTCTTGGTTACTCTCTCTCCTTCTCAATCTCTTGTCTTCCAACTACTTGCTGCCCGACAGTTTCAACTTCATGCGCATCTAAAGTTTTTCACGTCAAGTTTCGCCTCCGATGAGGCCTTGTCATGCCAATAGAGAATCAGGTATTCAAGGGAGCCACCAGCGCTGTAGGTGCATCTGTAAGGCTTCATTATCATCACCATGAACACTAGCAGTCATTAATAGTTAAATAGGTGGCATTGAAGATTTATTAGCTTGTCACACCAGCTTTGTGTTCATGTAAAATCTATTAGGAATGTGTGATGTTTACTTCAAAATTATGTAAGGCACGCACAGTACCAAATTTCACTCTTTCCTTCACCTTCTGTCTGTCCTTCATGCTCTACAGCTTTCATTTATTCTCTGTAGTTTAATTCATCAATTGTATCTGTTTCTTTTTTCCTTCCCTTGAGCACATGTTGTTCTGTGTTTCTCCTTTGTGTTGTCCTCTCATTGTCCCTCTTTCATTTTTACCCCTCATCTTCAAATTTTATTTTCTCCGTTGCTCTTTTCTGTGGATGCAGATTGCATTCATCCAATATAAATAACTGTTCTCATTAATGCGTTGAAGATCATCGCATTAGATTATCACATTGTTATGAGATCTTATACTAAGTAATCCTTTCTAATCATCACAGTGTCTTCTTTTGACAGGAAGTCATAGCGTCCGGGACTAAAAAAAACAGAAAAAAATAGTTGATAATAATACAGTGTTTACATCACAGCAGTGCACACTTGAGTGCTCTGTTACATCCATCAGACAGAAAAGTCCCAAGGTTTACAGACCAAACAATATTTTGATGAATTCCAGCCTTTTGGCAGTTATACGGGTTGGCTTAAGGGGTTTGGCTGCATGAATAAATACAAACACAAATAGGATTTGACACTACTTAAGGTAATTGTGTGCTTCACTGCACCATTCTTGCATTTTGACAAGTTTTACTGATTGGTCTAAGAGGAGCAGCGTTCTTAATCTGACCAACTTTTAAAACCGAGATACAGCTCAGCAGTTTTGGTCGGTGCACCTCCTATTTACTCATCCGTGTACTGTGCAAAATATCTGCATTTCAAATCTGACTAAACTTCAGGCTTCTCAATGGGAGCATTGGACTATTTCACTGATTGGTCCAAGGGGAGAACTGACATTATGAATCAAAACAAGATAACATTTGTAACTGATTTGCTTTGACAGGGGTTTCATAACTCATTGGGGACATGGTTAGTGGTGCCTTGCTGTTCTGCTTTTCTTTGCCTCTCACCCACAACTATATGCAACTAAACAGTCCTGCCTCTATCATTTCCGCAGACTTTTCCGCAGTGCCCTCCAGTCCTTTCCCTCCTCCCTGCTGATTGTCTTTCCTTTATACCTCTCCTTTCACCATCTGTCTCTTGTATTAGTTTGCTGAACAAGTATGACATACTTGCATTGTTTTGTGTGGCTGAATTTGAGTGTGCAATTGTAATTTTTACTTCCACATGCGTCATTTGAAAAAGGATTAAAGTGATCAGCCACTGAACCAAATACACAACTCTTCTAGTCAAATGTATACTGTATGTGTGTTGTACAACTGAGCACTGACACATCTCGATATCTCTGCACACACAGACAGGAACACACACTTATGCGCAGACAGGGCTGGTGGATTAAGCAGGACAATGCGTCTGTAATCATAACTGTACTCTGCAAAGAGCCCAGTGATAATACCTCTGTGTGTTACCGCCTAATCCCTCCCTCCACATGCTAAATTCGCTGTGTGCCACATGATAATCCTTCCCTCCAGCACTCGTAACTTCTATTGTAATTAACAACTGCGCAACTGAATCATGCAAGGATGGTGAAGGAAAGGGGGAAGAGAAGAGTTGAAGGGATGGATGAGAGTTTGCTTGGGGTGGAGGAAGTGAAACTGAAGGGATGGTAGATTTATGTGTGGGCGTTTGGATGCAATGTGATTTGCAGCAACAAACATAACCCAGTTTGTTTTTTTTTTTAAGTAAGGGGATGTTGTAATCACAGCAGTCAGTTCTTATCAATGTTTAGTTTTACCTTGGCAGCAAAATATCTTGTCAACATAATACTGCACTGGTTTTATGCATCACTATAATTGAATCTAGTGCCTTGAATTACAATTGCGTACTGAGTAGCTCGATCTCATTATTATTTAGGCAGTATGATACTTTTCCTGTGTGCATTACAGCTTCAAATTTAAAATGAAATATTGACTGAAGAGTTTAAATGTAATATATCGCCTACATGCTAAGGGCATTTTCAACCACATTAAAAAAAAAAAAAAAAAAGTAAAAAACTGCAGCAAATTCAGCTGATTTCCATAAAAACACAATAATTTAATTTCACTTGTTGCTAGATTACTCTTTATTAGTGCAGAAAAATGCTGGCTCGATGAAGACAACTTTAAAGACATTATCATTAGAAACCTTGAATCAATTTAAACTGTGAAGAAAAACAAATCCTGCAAAATAATTTGCACTCTGGTGAAGCGTCTGATTTTAGAAGTAACAGCACGTGGAATAATTCAGGAAATGAAAATCTATGAAGGGCATAAAATTGGTTAGTCACAGACACAGGTTTGTTATAGAGTTAGACAAGAGGTGACTTGTTATATGTCAGATTATCATATCTCATTATCATGTAGCATCCTACTGAATCTTCTCAGATATGATATACAACAAAGTAGCTGAAGTATAACCAGAAGAAGTTGGTAGTAGAATTTTTGATGTAATCTTAGATTGCCGTAAAGAGTACTTTATGAGACAGTAAGAGGCAGGGCTTAAATAAGTACATAATATAGGAAAAAATACCTAAATTCCTGTAAGCTATTGGATTCATCATAAGGATCATGTCATGGTTCAAGTGATGGAGGCAACAGATGGTAGAAATCAAGCATGCATATTGTCTACTAAATCCTAAAGACCTTTCAATCCATGTGTGTCCATCAAAGTTATTATTTCATGTTATTATACTTTAGTTAATAAACTCACTTGATTTTGCATATCACTTAACAATCTGTCCAGATTTGTGTTACTCAGAAAAAATATCAATAAGGCCTTTTCTGTTTCTAATTCTTTCTTTCCACGTACCACTCCCAGCTATTATTCACCACACCTGTTGTTCTCTGTCATGTCTTTTACTTCCTCAATCTGTTTTTCCTCTTTCATCTATCCCTTCCTCCCCTTTAATAATCACGTCACGTCATGGCCTCTGCCACTGCCCTCTTCTCTTTGTGCTCGTTGTTGTTTTTCCTGTTGCATTTCCATTAATTCCCTCCTGCCCTTCCAGGCTGTACGAGGGGAAGGAGCAGGCGGAGTTTGAGGAGTCACTGAGGAGCCTTTTTGAGTCCATCAACAACTTGATGCGGACAGACTACACCACCACGCTGCTGCTCAGGGTAATCATGTGCGCTCACCTTTACGCTCACAACTAGTAAACCTCTTTACACTCCTTCCACACTCTTCTCCTCTTTATGCTCACCCCCTCCCTCTTTCTCCTCCCTCTGTTTTTCTACATTTCCTGACTGACACGTCTCATCTTTTCCTCATGTTCCCACTCCTCTAATGTGATCTCTCAATCGGATTCCAACTGCATTAGTATTCTGCTGCTTCATGTCGTCCTCTTATTCTCAGTACTTACACAGAGGCAGACATACAAACAGATCCAGTCACAAAAAGTTAGACAGATAAGCGGCCCTGTGAAAAGTAATATTTTCTCACACATGTGCAGACAGCCTATTTGATGGCAAAGTCACCTTCCACAGGATTTCAAGGCGGTAATTTTAACAGTGTTTACTTGTTGTGTGTGTGGGTGTGTGTTGTCATCAGGTTGCAGCTCTGAAGTACCTGCCAACTGTCCTCCACGACGTTGAGAAAGTATTTGATGCCAAACTCCTCAGGTAAGCTTATCCTTAAACACACAGACATACGGACACACGTACTAACGCCTTATCTCTGGTCTCGTTTAGGCACACACACACACACACACAGGGGATTTTTTGGACCTGACTCAGACCAAGTTTGCCCTCTTGGTTTTGTTTAGTGACCCCCATTCTTCTGTCTCCCCCGCATCCCATCTAGGTCGAACCTTCCCTTCTTTTTTAGGTGATAAAAATCTCATCAAACGGACGTGGACACACAAGGACAAGCACTCCAACACACTCTGCAGCTCCAGCGCGTGCCCCTGAGTGAAATGACAATTTCACCAAAACCATCAAACAAAAGCCATTTTGAACCCCTTCTCTTTTATTCTCAGACTCCAGAAGAACAAAATGACTTGGAATGGCTTGCTTAACCTCTCCCTGACCCAGAATCAAACTTACAATAAACTGTTTAGCCCGGAAAATAACTTCAGGTGTACACGCTTTACCAGATGGTTGTTCTTACTTCAAACAACAAATCACAAACCCTTTATTTGTCTTCTAGCAATCCCATAGACAGGCTATACACGAAAGAGGATCTTAATTGATGATTTCTTTACTTTTTTCTCAAAGCTCTCTTTGTCATAATCCCTCTTTTTCACCTCTCTGTGACCTGTGTGCGTTTTTTGTGTGCCCATGTGTGTGTTATTGCGGATTATCTGCATCTGCCAGTTCAGTCCCTCTAGTGGCTCGATGTCAACACAGTTGTCGCAAAGGTGCTACCTTTAACACCTGCGTCACAGACACACACACATGCAAATAGACACGTACACTGGTAGAAAGGTGTGTGGGGAGGGGACAAAGTTGGCAGTCAGGACATATATTCTCATCAACTGTCATTCATTTTCCTCTCTTTCTCTCTTCCACGCATATTCACTCACCCTTTATTGTCGTCTTCTCCCTCCTTTTTTTTGCACGCAACAACATATCTGAGCGATCTCAACTTGAAAGTAAGGTCCCCACTGCATTCTTGATCAGAATTGCCTCGAGCAGACTTTTCCACAAGCAAGCTGTGTGAATTACAATCACCGTGCATGAGGTGGACATCAAAGCTTTGTCTCATCTCCTGTCTGGTTACACCCCTGCTCCTTGTAAACCCACCTGTAGTGTGATCTGTGGAGTGGTACCAGCACAGACATTGTCAGTTATGCATGTGTTTTGTTGGCTCGGTGTGTCCTCTGCATGTCCGTAGGGTATAGGCTGACATTTTGGATTTTAATTAGATTCAGTTTAGATGATTAGTGGGCATGATAAGTCCACTCTGAGCCTCGGTGCCCCGGCCTGTACTTGTGCCAGCCAAAGCACATCAAAAGTCACACAAACCTTTTTGTTATATTTGGGTTTGGGAGCAGAGGGTGTGCATTTCATTCATTTATATCATTATTGAAAGTGCTACTGCAGCCTACGTGATGTAATTTAAAGAGACAGAGACAAAGTGAGATACAGATGAAAAATGGAGATGGAGGGTTCACCATGCTCTGAACGTTCAATCTTTCTAAGTGGCACCAGGGCTTGCAACCAGCCTGTTTAATTATTCTAAAATGGAATTTGGGGCAGAGGATAAGTTAAACCTGTGTCTTCATTAAAGGGCGTTTTGGCTTCGGCTCATTTGTTTTCATGTAGCACAGACTGCTCCGCTTATATTTCCACAGCGATACGTCTGCTGCTTTTAGTAGCTGCACATTTTACAACTCCAAAGGTGAGATGTTTAAAGCTGGACTTGTTAATGGATGCTTTCGTTTTGATCTCTGAATCAGTTATATGGTGCAAACAACCAGAGCTTTGCCTTAAAATTCAGAACACGTACAATAATGTGTAGAAAATTGCTCTTGAATATTTATTGTGCTCATTTTCGAGAAAACAAACCTGTTGCTCTTCCCATGTAATGATGCTGCTGATTATTCATTCCACCTCCTATCGTTTCGCTCCCCAGTCAGTTGCTGCATGACTTCTATGCCTGCATCCCCCCTGAGAAACTCCAGAAACAGAAGGTGGCCTCCATGACTGAAATTGTCAGCAGCCAACTCTTCCAGAAACAAGGTGCGTCATTTTTCCCCCCCCACTAAACTGCTAGCCAACAGCAGACTTAACGCTGTGTGAAGGATTATATAGCGATAAATTCCAGTCCTGCAACAGGACTGGGCAGACAACTGCTCCCACTGCACTTTATGACTAGTAATAGTGCTCTTTGCTCTAAAGGTTTTATCTTGGTAATATGGAAAGGGTAATGTTCTGTTTCCTGTGGGACAAGCCAGTAAAACTCTGGATAAAAGCATCAGCCAAATGAGTAAAAAGGACATAATGGTGTGTATGCATATATATTTAATTTGGTGTACTGCAGTAAACACACACTTTAAGGTCGGGTTGATTATATTTACATAGTTTTTTCTTGGCTTGACATATTGCATAATTTCTATGGCAATTTTTTGAATGTTTAATATTTGACTGATTTACATAATTGTTTGTTAATAGTTTTTAAAAATAGATGGATAAGCATCTTGGGGTCTATTTTCTATTTAGATGAAGATGAAGACATGGATATTTGAAGCTGATGTTGTGCCATATAATTTCGGTGCCGCTATATTCGCCCCCACTGACATTACAATCATCGCTATGGACCCCAGTCAGACACCATCTTATTACAATCAACAGGAGTGGCACCTATTAATGTACTCCTCCACTGATGGTAAAGGTCACTTTAAGTCACTCTTGCTGAGATTAAACAGTCTTGAGGCTAAAATAACATTGACCTAGACGGATATTTGTTAGTCATTGTGAGTATCTGATGTGGGGGCTTTTTTGTCCTTGCGGCGTTGACATTCCCTCTCCACTCGGAATGGAAATGTCCATGAATGAGCTGAAATGAGTATACCGTTCACGCCTCGGTAGGTGTTGGTGGTGAATATAGAGAACGATGAGCGTTACCCATATTAATGTCACTGAGGATATCTGCTGAAAGATATCATCGGGTGTTTGAAGCAGGTAAGACAGAAAGCCTTTTCAGAAGCGTTTCACTGTCATTAACGTGTCACTTTTCACACCACGCCTCCTCCACTTGTGAATGATGTTCACTACATTTAGCATAATTGCCAGCGACACATTATTTTGTCTGCATTGTACCTCTAAAGTGCACTACACATCAGTGATCACACACACACTGCGCCAATCACAGTCCACCCCCTGCCACTGCTCAGCCCTATTATGTCTGTCTAATTTACTTGTAGTGGGTTGATAAGTGGTGGTTTCCCCTACAGAGGTCCACGCGATGATAGATTGAGTGATCTGACGCTGTGGTGATGTATAATGCAGACACGATATAGGGGCCCATTATTGGACTTCTGCCGTGCAAACTGAGGAATTGGAGGTAGACTGTGAGAGATTGTGGTCAACCAAATTCGGTCTGAAACCAAAATAAGTCTGAGTGACGCTGGGAAGGGTACACGCTTGACTGTGCAAGACAAATTCAGTCACAACAGAGACATTCCTCCATGTGTGCACACATGTATTCTCATTCACTACCCAGAATACATTTGTACTGTATTTGTTTCAGAGCAACTGATGACACTATTTCTGGATGTGAATGTATTTGTGCATCTCGGTGTTTGTGCAGTGGTGTATGCTAAATGGGTGTGTGCACTGCATTGGATGTTTGTTTTTTTTTTTTTCTTTGCCCGGTCAGTTGCTGTCAGCCAAGTTGGTAGCCAGTCCAGGATATGGCTCCTTGGTATTGATCCTGGCTCAGATGATTGATTCCCCAGGGGTTGAGGCGACAGGTTTGGCCCTCTGGCTCGCTGTCAACATGCTCAGAGTTACGCTCTGTCACCAGGAAAGGAGGGAGAGAGAGGAGAGAAGGCGATGAAAGTAACAGGAGAGGGAGTAAAGAGGATGATGGGTGGAAAAGGAGACAGCAAAATAAAGAGAAAAAGAGCAAGGGAATTTGGGGCATCATGCCAAAATGCCATATATCAATTCTGGCAAAGAACGTACTCCGAGTGCTTCCATTTTTGAGAGTGCAAATGTCTCTTTTTGGAATATATCAGTTCCGATGTAAAAATGTCTGAGATGGAGTCAGGCAGAGGTAGCGGAGAGACCAGGGAGATAAGATTCAACTGGAGAGGAGAGACTGGGGAAAAGGAAGATTCAGGGAGCGATTTGCAGAAGAGCAGGATAGACGAAGAGGAATCAAAGAATCTCTAAAGAAGAAAGGGGAATTGTAACTGGAAAGAAAGGAAATGAGATGATGATTGGTAAATGATGGACAGGAGCAGAGGGATAGTGAAGGAAACGGGAGGATAGATGACTGAGGAATGTGGAGAAAGCAAAGGCAGGCTGAGAAACAGGTAACAAGGGATTTGAAAGATAAAGAGAGAGGAGAGAGCGGGCGAATCGTATAGTGTTGATGGGGAAAAAATGGCTTGGGGACAGCGTAAAGATAAAGTTTGCGAGAAAGAGTGGCTTGACTTGTTTTGCTATTAAACAGTCAAGCAGTGATTAAAGTTTAAGGCCGGCTCACAGTCAATCTATCAGCAAATCTACAAGCTGTTGCTCGGTGACACCTGACTCCTCCTCTCCTCTCTTTTCCTCCGTCCTCCAGCATGGTGCTTTTATTTATTTGCTCATTTATGCATTGGTCCAATCCATCTCGATCCCTGCCTCGCCAAATGAGGGCTGACACTCCGTCTAATTGAGATGCATTTTAGCATTGGGATGCTAATCAGCAGGCTTGTATGCTGGGGTGCCATTCGTCCAGGAGGCTGAAATATGCAGCAGAACTGAATTATATATTTATAATGGTTAATGCCCCCCGGTGTCCTATCACTGCACTGCAATACATATTTAATAATCCTACCTGTCTGTCTAACTGTCTGTCTGAGCAGACCTGCCAAGCAGCTCCGTCTCCAGGGAAAAATGTCAAGCCACTGACACCACTCCAGTGTACTGTAGCAACGGTTATGATGGAAGAGGATTGTGTGTGTGTGTGTGTGTTTGTGTGTGAGTGTGTGTGTGAGAGAGAGAGACGGTCGATCAGATGCTTGTTCATGTTTGACAGAAGAGGGAATGAAAAATTTTAGGGATCCTTATTATTTATATTACAATATTTTTTACTATGTATAAAATATCTTTATTCATCGGCCTTTATTTTGAATGTTAAAATGATCAATAGCACAAAAAGCTTGGTGGTTGTAGGAATCCTTTAAGAAAAAAAACAACCTTAGGAGTGCCTTAATAAGCAGCACATTTGAGCTTTCTCCACGGTTCTCATGCTCACATCCGATTACGAAAGATTTTCTGAGATGCGGTCATTGTAGGAGCACATTGTTTACTGCAAACTACTTAGGGCAGCATCTTCTTGCAGAAAATACAAGAGCCTAAGGGTGTGCTGGGACTAAAACCTGGATGAAGATTGGTATAAATCAATGTGCTTTTTCAGGGTTAAAGTTGGGTAGAAATTAGCGAAAACCAGGATTCTATAAATCTTTAAATACTATACAGTATGTAAGGAATTTAAGAAGTTTTATGTAAGGTATGTTTTCTGACGTTATTCAGCAAGAGAGCAGTTGCTATTTTTGTAATGAGGCAGAGGCACATGTTCACATGTATTCATTTTTCTCCAACCCCAGTTTGAAATGAATATACGTGTGTGTGTACGCGTGTGCGTGTACGTGCACACAACATGCTGATTTTGTCGGTCCATGTGCTTGGCTTTCTCATGACTGGTTGCATCCATGGGCAGTGTTTGAAGGGATTGGGATTTTTTTTTTTCTCTCACTCAGAAATACTCCTCTGATTTATTCAGCATACGCTCCTGGGATTAAGGGTCTTGGCAAGCACATAGTGTATCTACACACAAACACACACAATGCGCACATACCCATGCTGGCGCACATGCATGGACAGACATGTGCATCCTGTCATATGGGTTAATCTGGTTTTGAGACAAAATTAAATTTACAGGGCGCATTATGGCTCAATTTAGGCAAATTATTATGCAGTCAGCCAGTCACTGTGACAGATTGAGAGCATCAGCACTGATAAGGGAGTGAAAAAAAAAGAACGCGAGATCAGGGAGAGCAAAGAGCAGAGGGACAGAGGGATGAGTCTGTCATTTTGTTTGCCCACTCATTTCCCAAAGCTGGTCAAAGTCCTTGATTCAATCCACTAACCCTGTATATTTTCTCAGCCAGGCCTCCGTTCCCCCTCCCTCCATCTGTACAGCTTGAGAAAAGACTTTAGTTATGTCATCCATCTTGTAGTGTATATTAAACAGATTAAAGGAAACCCATACATTTCAGTGTAATGCTCCTGTAAGAATAATTGTTGCTGCTGGGTGTAAAAATAACCCACAATGCAGAGAATCCAAAGAGCTGCCTGTGCTGTCTCCAGTGTATAAGTATGTATTTGTTAATTTCATCATATCAATCAACATAAACGGCAGCAATTTCATTACCTAAATTGCTTGCATTCTAGTGCCACACATTATACAGGGTTGTTGACATTGTTCACACCCATGTCTATATTTCCCCGCTGTGATTACTTAACAGATGCATGTCAGTGCTTGATGAATATGGATGAGTGATGTACTGTACAGTTATTATCGTCAGGATTTAATCAGTGCTGAGTGATCTCGGTTGTCCCCACATTCTCTACCTATCAGCATTAGTGACGGGTCACTTTGGGCTCCAGTTATAATGATGCTGAATGTGGTTTCCTATATCGGGCACCTAAGTGAGGTTTAGTAACAAAGTTATTACCATGTAACCAACCAAGCAGGATCTGGCTACAAATCTACATAGCCTAGAACTTCTGTAGTCCATGTGGTCAAAAGTAAAATTAGGCTTAAGGCTGTGTTAATGCTTCAACAAAATCTCCTTTTTAAAGCAAATGTACAAAGCCAGTCTTTTAATAGTGTAAAGATAGTACATAATATGTGTAAGCGGGTTAATCCGCAGGTGTTTGTACCTCAGGAGAGCGCCATTTATTGCTATGCATTTCTCTGAGCATTCTCAGAGCAGCCGGTTAAGCTATAATTTCAAAGCTGT